GACAATGTGACTTTGATTCATACTGACAGAGTACAAGTTCACCTATACAGAATTTTGAATTTGGCTACCTAATTCATTTCTCTTCCTTCATTCTCTACCCTTCTCATTTCAGTCTTTCAGTCTCATAACCTGCAGTGACATTCCCCTCACTCATAAGGCAAAGTGGGACGATCGGCTGACCCGTCATTTTCTTTTGAATTTATTTACCGTAGCGTAAGTGACACAACATACTGAGTTCCAATGGTTTGGTTTCCATTGAGCTCCCCTTATTTAGTATTGCCCTTTTCCCCTCCAGTATTTCTGTAAAGATAGGTATCATTAACTGAGAAACTCAGGATCTTAACATCGTTGATCGTTGACCTCTTTTTTTTGTTAGCTCAAAAGCGCCTTCTCTGTGACTGACTAACCTAGACCAAGAAAACCTGATAGAAATTTTGAGTGGCGCTAATTATTGTTTTCGACTGCTGATAACACCACTATCAAAAACCATGTCCCATCTTGCTGATTTCCATATTTTTGTGGTTGAATTAGTTTTGTTGCAACCGACATCTAAATCAAAAGAAAACAAGCTAATATCCATGATTATTTTAGTAACCGCTTAGCAAGGAGTGAATCATATTGTTCTCCTCTCATGATACTGAAATCACTCAGTGATTAGTCTTCTCCTCTTACCATTATTTGCTAAATTTGGTTCCTAATTGGGAAGGTGTATATAATGAGAAACATATGGATGGATACATGATTTACGTGAATATCCCTAACGACCATCAAGGCCAGAGGAAATTAGATTCTTACAGAATAAAGGCATCACTGGCTCTGGCTAATCTATGTGGTGTGAATAGGTGAGGAACTGACACTCTCCGCAGAATTTAAACTTTTTTTGAAGAGGCTGCATCGGTAAATCTAGCAGGAATTTGAACCAAAATTCCGGGGCGGTATGTGTTTTGAAACATGCTTTTTTGAACACCCCTAGGAGATTCTTCTGGGAGGGCGCAATCCTCACTGAACCGACTGGGAGCATGGTTCATTCTAAATTATAACTTTTCATGTGAAACGGAAGTTTCAAAGAAATACGCGTCGCATGATTGTTATGGACCTAAGGCCATTATACTTCTGCTATTTTCGTTGGTAAGGTAAGGTAAAGAAATTTATCTCCCCGCGGAAGTGAAGCAATTTCGACCGTCTCAGTAAGTCTGACACTTTCGAGTGGGTCAAACTTTTTCTAATGTATGAACTCCAGTCACAAAGATTCTTAATCATAAAAAGTGTTGACCATTATTAGGGTGAACTAATTCATTTTATATTTATCGAAAGGAACTCCCAGATTGTTTGTACTAATCTTTGTTCCTATTATATAGGAAGGAGGAGAGCCCGGCGTCAGCTGGGCGATCCGACTGGTAGGATATAAATGACATGGTACACTGTTGTGACATTAAAGTGAACTTCACCGTCCCTAAAACCAGCAGGGGGAGGGGTTGATTGAAAATAATGCTAAAAGTTGTAAGAAAAGCTGATTTGAGGTAGAACCCTGCATGCCGTGGTGACGGTACAAAATAATCGTCACTCTTTTGATACACTAAATGGTAACACATGAGTTCTTTCTTGAATGATTGCAGTATAAGAGGACCAATCAATTCAATCTTGATTTCGCTCTAGATAGGAGCCCTACCTACAAATTTTCCAGCACTGCCGTGGCAAAGATTTTCAATCGTTTTTGAAGGTGAAATGGGAAAATAAGCATAAGGATGCTGTGAGTACTAAATAGTCTGGGACTACTGCTTCACTTCATCCAAGTTGCTCCCAGTAACTATTAATTTGTGCCCCATGCAGTGGAAAAGGCAGATGAATTGGAAAATGGTTATGATTAGATTGAAATACCTCGAGAATCCTCAGTGTTTCCGTACAGAAATCTTCTGAATGGCAGGAGCAGACCACTCTCGTCGCCTCCGAGTCTAGTACCGATATGTTACAACCCTCTTGTTCTTGTAGAATCTGAAGGGATCCACATAAACGAACAGCTGTTAATAGTTGCTGTAAATTTGGTATCGTCGTAGCTCTAAATAATTTCATCGGAATTGCTATAAAATTATGCGACCAAAACGATAACCTCGTCTATGAGAACGTGCCTTTTTCCTGCCACGGGAATAAAAGTCTTTTATGTCACATGTGTTGTGTAGAAAATCCACAACGAATTCACAGACTTCGTGTTCCTAGAAAATCGTTGTCGATAGAAAAGAGTGCTATATCCTGTGAAGGGCCTGCCAGAACAGTGAAATGTACTTCGAGCACCAGAGTGAAATGTGCATTCGTTGCCAATATCTACAGTACATCTACTATGAGAGTTGGTACAGGTGATGTGGAAGTAGAAAAGCAGCAACTAGCATCCGTGAATGGGAGCATACGGTGCATCACATGCTTCATTCCCTATCGGTCAACTCCAAGAAGCCTGACCCCGCATTGCTCGGGCGGTCCCGGCTATCGGTGTTGCTTTGATATAATACATATCAGTCGGCTCGCCCGACGCCGGGGTCTCCTCTTTCTCGTGTTGAAATGGCCTACCCGCCTGCACTTTTTTTCAATTTGGAGGCCTCGGTAGATGGGAACAGGAGTTATTCATTCCCTGCCGAACACAAACACCCAATGGGCGCCCCGTCTGCCATGAACAAACCCCCTCTAGGTTCTGAGTATTATGTTCGAGTGACTCAATTTCCTTTTGACTTATTCAACCTTGGTTTCAAAATTCCTCTTCAAGTTTAAAATACAACATTTTTTCGCCCACGCCAGTCCTGCCGCAGACATATGGGTGCTCCCATTTTACTGCCTGTATTTCTATCGAATATGAGCCACTATAACTGAGCTAAAACTTTTCGCACTAACCCCGCCTCATGTGGGGGGAGTTCGGTCTTGTGACCCACCATAGTGTTTCTATCCTGCCCCCGTCACACCCATCAAATTTCAGCGCTTCAGGTGCACGGGAACAGGAGCTATGAATTTACACTCAAACCTCGCCCTTTGGCCCACGTGGATAACTCCGTCCACATTTGTGCACACCCCCGCTCATGATGGTTGACTTCATTCACTTACTGACCTCTACTCACTTGTTCCCGCATTCTGAACAGAGTAATAGATTTTTGACCTAAGCTCCGCCCTTTTTAGTACCAATCCTGCCCTCGAAGATTTGTTCCCATTTGTTCCATTACCTCTAACCACCCTTTTCCCGCATTCATAACGTTTCTGAAGAGAGCTATGAAATTTTGATCCGAGCTGCGCCCCTTTTAGTGTATTCAGCAATCCAGTTAAGAAACTTCCTCCTGGAACAATGGCACCCACCAGTGGGTGCCAGTCGTGCACAAAACAAGAGACGTAGTCCCATGAACGCACCACGTCGAAAAGTGCATTGTCATCAGAGGGTTAATTGGTGAGTGGATCTTGTTTTCTGAGGCCCCGTCTGTCGCCAGTGTTCCGATCCTGCCTCATCTACTCCAATTGATTTTGCTTTCCAAGTCCACGCGATCAGGAATTATGAATTATTGCTCAGCCGTTTATTTCGCGGAAATCCTGTCTCCTGTGTGGCGCGGTCCGGCCCTTCGAACAACCACAAGTGTTCATGTACTGCCCCTCTACTAAGTTTGAACGTCCTGGTGCTAAAGTGACAATTTTAGCGCAACCCCGCCTTCTGTTGGCGGAGTTCCGTCCTGCGTCCCACCATAGGTGTTTCCATACTGCCGTAGTCCTACCAAATTCGAACCATCTACGTTCGCAGAGAAAAAGCTATGAGCACACAAACACACAGATCAGCGCGTTTTATATAATAGGATACTTTGATGGAACAGGCAACCGCTATTATTTTTCTTACCTCTACACCTTCTTCTGTTGAGCACTTTCTACTTTCCATTCCTTTGAGCAATATGAAGCCCAATGCCACATATACACAAAAGTGCACTGTAGGAAAAATTATTGGCATTTGTTACCGTCTAGTCAGGCAAACAGTAGAAGAAATTGCCAGAAGACTGGGCCGGACTGAGAGAAGCACGTTCAAGATTTTGAGGTAACCTACTCAGGCGTGCTGACGCGACCGCACTTGATGAACGTGGATGTTGGATTAGATGTCTAACCACAGCCTGATAGTTCTGTGAGAATGATTCAAAATGTCTTTTTATCGTAACGTTGAGATGCTAATCACCTGATTCGTGGTAGAAGGATTTCTTCAAAAGAAGGAATAATAAAAGGTTATGACCGACTTCGATTACTCTAAGCTGTTCAAAGTAATTTTCTGTCGTAGTTTTGAAATATTGATATCTACAGCTTCATTGGTGACTGACGTTTCGGCTAACTCGCCTTCTTCCGAGCTAGTGATGTCGGGAGGATGTTATTGTTTCAACCGTTCACCTTTTCATATTACGGAAAAAATCCTTAAATGCTGAGAATCGAAGGGGATGAAGCTGATTTGGATTGAGATAAACTTTCTGCCGGACTATGAATCTTAGGTTCCTCGCGGCATCTTTACACGTGGTTTTAACCCAGAGGTCGGGTAGGAAAGCTCGCGGATCAGTTACGGTAATATCTCAACTATTAGTTTCAACCCTAGGGCCATCTCTGTTATTCCGAGCCGCCTTTGTTTCACTTCCAACCGGCATCAGCATCGAACTTTGTTATGTCCTAAAATTAACATTAACCCCGACGACCATGGTACCCGCCGGCGGGTGCCACTTTGACTGGCGCATGGCACCATATCACCCAATGTTGGGTGCCAGCATGTTTTTTCCTTTATTTGCACATTTGAAACTAATTTAACATATTGATATTTATTAACAAACTTCATAGCATTCATATTCAACATGGTCCACAATATTGTTTTATTGAAGCTTATGTATGTATTACAAACATATATGTACAATGGGGTGCCACTGAAGAAAAAACTTAGGTTCTTCCGCAAGATTTGTGTACATCTTGGAAACATTGCAGACAGTAGAAGCCGTGACAATTGCCACATTGGGTTTTTACTTTCTTAGCATGTACTCTAACATATTGACGACTGTATCGTTTACCATTTTACTGTAACAACTTTTACACTTCCGGCGTCCATTGGAGTCTGCCTCTGGTATATCGATTAACTTGCGTTTTTTTCCATGACCTGTGCTGTTTTTTCCATCAAGGTCCATCAGGATCTCGGCAACTGCAATTTTGGAGTCGTTAAACGTCATCTTACTGTTCTGATTATAGACAAACGGAGTGTAAGGAGCCATGTTGACACCGCAAGATCCATCGTGTCTTGTTGAGGGCATGTAGATTTCCCTTTTGTCTTTCCAATTCAGAAGCAGAATTCCTCGATTATCTTGTTGGAGATAGATTTCACCTTTTTAAGGGCCTGTTCTTCACAGCGAGCGGAATTCCTTTGCGGCATTTTCTGATAGTTCCGATAAGATTGGTTTTCTGCGTAAGCAAAGAGTTTGAATGACAGGCTTATATACCAGTTATTAGTGCACAGATCTCTTCCTTGGTCCAAATAACCTTCCATGACCTCCATAACCACTGCGTCAGCTACACTTCCTGTCCTTGTGGAGTCCCTGCCTGCATAAACCTTCACATTCAATGTGTATGCATCTTTGCAGCAGAGCTTGAATAGTTTGACACCGCACTTGTGGCTCTTATTCGTTGAACTGCTTGAATACGATCCGCCCTTTGAATGGTACCATTGTTATATCAATGCAAATTTCCTTTTCTGGTTTGTGCATTCGTTGGAAGGAAGTGTTGAGTAAGTCCAAAACCGGTTGAATTTTATAGAGTCTACTTTCCTTGTCGGCATTCTCGTTGTCTACGAAGTGTAAGCATTGGCAGGGCTTCAAAACGATTTCTAGCCATGACTTTAGTCGCCACAGAACATCCGGAAGCTTCGTAGACCAGTAATCACTCATGCTCGGCAGCTTGACAATTCCCACGTAGAGACAGATGCCCAAAAATCGTTTCACTTCCTCGACAGATGTATCGCTCCAGTCTTTATTCCTAAACATTATTTTCTCTTTTGCATATCTATTCGTTCCATGGGATCTAACAATTCATTTGTTAGGAAGAGCTGGTAGCAACGATAGGCCTCGTACAATTCTGAACAGAGTTATCTGGTCCAATTTCTCCAGTGAAAACGAATCGGTCATAGGGAATAGCGACTTCATCCCAAGGTTGTTCATCATCTTCTTCACAATCATCTTCATGCTCGTCATCCTCGGATGAATCATACTGAACTGGTACAACCACAGGTTGAACAGAGTCATCATTCAGCAAGTCTCATCTTCCTCGCCAAACTATTATCTGAGGAGTCATATTGCCTTGCGAAGTCGTCCATCATGATGTTCAGGAGTGGTCACTTACTGACTTCTTCAGCCTTTTAGAGTCACTACGTCGAATTAGGCTTGGGTTATACTTTTCAACGGTCTGTGCGGATCGATTTGCAGTCATGTGACCGTCCCGTCGTCTCAACATGGCAGATGCAAAGCATAATTTGATATTTAAGGGCCCTGAATTTGATACGAATTTCTGCTACAAACATTATTTTCAGAATTTTGTCCTACATTGCTTCCAAGCCCAAACTCCATTTTCAAGCCTCACATAGTTATAGTGAATGAAATGGGGTCTGAATACTTTCATTTCAAGCGATATATTGCTAACTAAAACTATCAATTCAGAAAAGGGAGTTTCTCCTGGGACCATGGCACCCACCGGTGGGTGCCAGTCGCGCACGAAACGAAGGGAGCATGGTCCCATAGGCGCGTCACGTCGAAAACGGCGTTGTCGTCAAAGGGTTAAGACAACGATGTGGTCTTGAAGACTGAACGAGGTTAAGTTTTCAGGTGTTCTGTAGCTTTTCGGTGATTGGAATGAAGCATGCAATTCTTCTTCCGTAACATGTGAGCTGAATCACGGCACAAAACAGTAATCTATCAATGATCTCTAATGTGTTAAGGAAAGGAATATATATTAAAAAGTAAAGAGCAACGGATTAGAATCAGCTTTTGTGTAGAGGTATGTAGTAAACACACAAAAGGACCATAATAAGAACAGAGTAGAAGATGGCTCATTCCGCCTTATCAATAATCATGCCACTGTCTCCACATGAGAAAAAATTTCATTCGAACGCGTGAACTTATACTGCTCAATGTAGTGCAATCAAGGGTTGAAGAAGGCAGGGAATGATTAATGGTAATGCCTATACTGAACATGTAACGTGTAACGTGAACATGTATCTCTACGATCATATCATCAATTTACAAATGTTATTGGAATTACCTTCGGATGAAAACTTGAAGCAAATTTCATTCCATACAGACACCCAAATAAGACACGACTTCCTTTTTGTATCCACATTTCAACGGTACTTTCCCCATTTCCGCTATCTTTGTATCGAACTTTGCCAAATTAAAAGGGTCGTATACCAGGTTGCGGTGCTCATTTAAGATGAGATGTTGCCGCCGTGAGTGGTTTCAAACAGTAATTCAAAGACCACCTTCTAAATCCGCTAGACGATTGTAGGAGCAGAGTTGCGAGGCCAGCTTTACCTGACTTATACCACTGCCGGTTGGGCTGCGCACGCTAAAGCGTGCACCACATGTTGACAAACGTTGATCTACAGCCTTACCCAAAAACAGGATTCAGATATTCCGCGCCGTATTAATGTTATTTAGGGAGATCAATATAGAAAGTATAAGTAGGCTTCCTATTCCATAACATATTTCTCACCCTTGTTAGTATGAGCACACGTGACACTTCACAATCCTCATCGCACCTACGTGACTTTTTGCGGACAGGCACACATACCGACATACAAACAGACACACAAAGCTTTACAGGCATCCCTCACAGGAACGCTGGGGATGGTAATACAATGCGAGTATTCCCTCACCGACCGAGTAGACGTGCAGTCCCTTCCCAAACACTCAATATGTCGTTACGAAAACCAATAATGCACTCCCGACAAAGGGAGTTCCACGGTCCATCGGCCTGGAATGCTCCTTGGAAAAAAACTGCCCTTTCTATGATAAGAAATGTGCCAGTACGTTTCAATCGACGTTTTTGCAAAGAAAAAAAAAGAACCATAAGCAAGCAACCTAAGGTAAAACAGGTAACGTGAAGGTAAAACAAAAGTAGTTTGAAACAGAAAAATTTCTCACAACGGGAGCGGGGTTAGGGAGAAAGTTCACCTCGTCCCTCTAACGGTTCCCGTATAGACGACATGAGAAACATACGACTATTCACATACATCACCGGAAATCTCACCAAATTCCTCTGATCCGCGTCGACCGTCTGCCTCACTATGCAGACCACCACCGAAAAAACTCGAATAATGGTCACCACTGAAAGATACCCGGGAAAACCATCTCATATTCGGCATCACACCTTTGCAACCCTGAATAAATTCTGGCAAAGCTGGTCAAAAGACTTTCTCACTCCAACTCCGCAATGTTTCCTGCGAACATCCAAAAATTCGCTGAATGAAGTTTAGAGATGTGACAGGATGGAAGATAGGGGTACTCCAAATCTCAACGCTTTAAGACAGCTCTCTGTTTGTACTTTACAAATTTTCTAGAAGGTGTGAAATCCCTGGTGTTAGTTATGCAGAGGAGAAAAGCATTAGTCGACGTTAGTGTCGAAGCTTTCCTGCCCTGTATCCTATATTTCTGGAATGTTCCCACAGCCCTTTGATTAAAACGAGCGCTTTCAAACGTTTTTGGCACTGCATCACTACCTCCGCTGCGCATGCCATGCGATAGATTCACTACTGTTTTTGAAGGAAAAAACAAAAGAATTCATCACAGTAACACGCATCTTCTAACATGCACTGTTTATTCTCATTGAAATGGTTGTATGAAGCAATAGAAGTAGCCGCAGTTGTATTTGCTCGACCTGGATTGTTTTACGTGTTGCAGCTACACATTCGGGTACACACCGGGAGGGCAAAGCGAAGTGTTCGGATTTTTGACACACAGCCCATTATTCTGGTTACACGTGGAACCGGGGAACGTGCTGCAGTCATCGTCGAACATACATGGACCAGATCCCACTTCATAAATCATGCCGAAATTACTCATAGCCGTGCTGAAATTAAGGAGAACATTAAGTAAGGATGACTTGGAGCCAAAAAGTG